TTATAGTTATACTTTTTAGCTATAAACCTAACGTATTATTCTTTGTCTATAATGCATTTAGTAAGATAATTATTAAAAGCAATAGCAATAATAGACTATTATAAGCTTTACATGAATTATAAGGCCCAATAGTCAAGTGGTTAAGACGTAACATTTTCACTGTTAAACGCGCGGGTTCGAACCCCGCTTGGGCTTGGGTCTAATAGCTATTTTTTATTAGCTTAAGGGGATATAGTTTAATTGGTAAAACTGCGATTTTGCATATCGTTATTTTAGGATCGAGTCCTAATATCTCCAATGTTAAAATTAAATCTCAAATTGGCAACTTATCATGTTTTTAGCTATAAAACACTAAAAAGTTTAAGTATGTCTATTGCACCTAGCCCCCGACGGGGACTTACCTTTAGGTATGGCCCTTGAAGGGACCATCCCCAAAGGATAGTATATATTATTTTTAGAAGACATTTGTCTTCTAAATAGCTAGGAAAAAACTTTTTTAATTTAAATGCACAACCTGCTAGTTTATTTATTACTGAACGATTCGTGACTATTAAAAAGAGTAGTGCTGTTTTTCTAAATTAACTGAACTAGATGAATTCTGTATAAAGGTAATAAGCAAAAAAAAGCCCAGGTAGCTCAATTGGTAGAGCGAAACTTTGAAGGTGTTTAGGTTATAAGTTCAAATCTTGTCTTGGGCAATATATTACTTTTTATAAAAAAAAAAACAAAAGAAAAAAGAAAAAAAAAAGAGTTCTTTTTTTAAGATGTAACAATTAAATCCGTTATTTAGCAAATAATCCTTATACTAGTAGAGCTGAATCATAGATTAATAGTAAACTTCTTATTATACATAATTAAAAAAAAATGGGTATGCTGAAATTGGTAGACAGGTCCCGCTTAGGACGGGGTGAAATAATTCATATAAGTTCGAGTCTTATTACCCATATAAATTATATGTAATATAGTGTATTAGTTAGAATATATGCTTACTAGTTTATGTTTATAATTATTAATATGTAGTAGACTAATGGTAAGTCATAAATTTTTGGTATTTACTTATGGGTGTTCGAATCACCCCTACATAGAAAGGTGGATGTAGTTCAATTGGCAGAACAACTGTATGTGGAACAGTAAGTTCCCTGTTCGATCCAGGGTATCCTCCCAGTATCCTTTATATGACTACAATTAGTTTTTATTATAAATATTTTTCCTCATATATCTGTTTATATTTTAAAACTATTTGCAATAAAATTCTATATTTTAGATACTTATTTTATATCTTTTTTTAGAATTTTTTTTGGTTAGAATTGTTTTTTAAAGAATTCGCTGTATATCTATAACTACGGTTTTTATAAAGCTGTCTATACACTAAAACAACTTTGTGTAAAATACTTATTAGCATATAGACTCTAGCCCTCTATAAGTTAGATAAACTTTATCTCTAGCTAAAAATAAGTTAAATTTAGTTTAAGCTACAACTAAATTAGAAACTAGCCGCGGCTACTTTTAACAAACAAATAATAAGCCAGGATAGTTCAATTGGTAGAACATTAATTTCATGCATTAATAGTGGGAATTCAAATTTCTCTCCTGGCTATAGGAACTATATTTTTTATTGTAAACTTAACTGACGACTTACAGCTTAGTAAACTACGCATTAGAAAAGGCGTTTCTTTCATCTTTTCATAGTATTGTTAAACTTGTGATACAAATGTAAATCTTACAGCTATTATATTTAGCGTTGTTGAGATAATGATAGGAAAGTCCGGTGATTAATATATAGCTTTTTTAGTGGGGCATAAGCTTGGGTAATACACAGAGAATTTAATAATAAAAACTTTTAGTCTTTTATTAGAAGTATGAAATAAAAAGCCTTAATTAATCTTTATTTTAGTTAAATATTACATACAGGATCCGGCTTATTTGTATCCAAGTAATAGCTTTCTATATAACATTACATTAGATGAATCAAACAATGTTTGCGTTTAAATGAATTAACTGTATATTAGTAATAAATAATTACTTTAAAGTAATGAAACTGAATGTTTCATTGCTTTTTATTGTACTAACCACCATTCTTGTAGTAAAAAATAATAATTATAAAAATGTTTAACCACTACCTAACAATAGCGAGTCCGCTAGATCAATTTGAAATAAGAAACTTATTCAGTATCGATACACCATTATTAGCAAATATGAACCTATCTATTACAAACATAGGGTTATATATGACAATTGCTGCCTTTATAGCTTTCTACTTTAGTGTTTTAGCTACTAACCATTCAAAAATTACTCCAAATAGTTGATCTTTAAGCCAAGAAACACTATATGCTACTATTCATAGTATCGTAGTAAACCAAATTAATAACAAAAGTGGGCAAGCTTACTTCCCATTTATGTACGCCCTATTTATCTTTATTTTAATTAATAATCTTATAGGTATGGTACCATATAGTTTTGCATCAACATCTCATTTTATATTAACATTCTCACTTAGTTTCACTGTAGTATTAGGTGCTACTGTTTTAGGGTTCAAAGAACATGGATTAAAATTCTTTTCTTTATTCGTTCCAGCAGGTTGTCCTTTAGGATTATTACCACTGTTAGTTTTAATCGAATTTATTTCTTACTTAGCTAGAAATGTGTCTCTAGGACTAAGATTAGCAGCTAACATACTATCTGGTCACATGCTTTTAAATATTTTAAGTGGATTCACTTATAATATTATGAGCTCTGGTATTATTTTCTTCGTTTTAGGATTATTACCATTAGCATTTATTATAGCATTCTCTGGATTAGAATTAGGTATTGCCTTTATCCAATCACAAGTTTTTGTAGTTTTATCTTGTTCATACATTAAAGATGCATTAGAATTACATTAGTTTTTACTAGCTTTTTTTTATTTAAAGCAAAAAAACAAAGGGGTATGTTGCATAGGGCTATGCATTTTGATTGCAGATCATAAATATAAGGTTCAACTCCTTCGTATCCCTTTTTTCGCCAATATCGTCGAGACCTAACTTTCTGTTAACTATTACAATAGTAAAAAAAGTAAAAAACAAAGTTTAGTCTCTTACTAGTCAATGGAAAAATATCCATCTTTCTATGGCTAACTAAAGATCGTAGTACGGGATAGCTAACAAAAATTCTATTTCAACGAAAGGAATTTTTTTACAGGTATAACCTACGTTTTATTACCATACCTTATATCACTTACAGGTATAATCTACGCTTTATTACCATACTATACATATGGTTTTGTGAAAAGTATAAATGATACATTATCATTTACTACGAATTAGAAGAATTTATTTTTTTTTGTTTTATAAATGTTATTAACATCTTTACTTATAACTCCTATACTGGGTGTACTTGCCATTTTAGTGAATAGAGAGAACGGAATCTCTTTAACAAACATAAAAATCATAGCTCTATCCACATCTGTTTTAAATTTCTTCATATCATTAATAATCTTTATTTTATTCGACTTTAGTACTAACCAATTCCAATTTGTACAAGAGTACCATGAAATAAGTTATTTTGATTTTTATTTAGGTGTAGATGGTTTATCTATATATTTTGTTTTATTAACTACAATTATTATTCCTATTTCATTGTTATCTAATTGAAAATCTATATCTAAAGATGTAGAAGCCTATATTATGATTATTTTACTATTAGAAAGCCTATTATTAGCTGTTTTCTTAGTATTAGATATTTTACTTTTCTACATTTTCTTTGAAAGTATATTACCACCTCTTTTCATTCTAATAGGTATATTTGGTTCAGATAATAGAGTTAAAGCGAGTTTTTACTTGTTTTTATATACGTTATTAGGTTCTTTATTTTTATTACTTTCTATATTGGCAATGTCTTCTATTATGAGTACTACTGATTTTGATACTCTTTTTAAAGGAAATTTCCTTTATATAACACAACTTTTCTTATTCTATGGTATTTTTATTGCTTTTGCCGTAAAAACACCTACTATATTCTTGAATACATGACTTTTAAAAGCTCACGTTGAATCACCTTTAGGTGGTAGTATTATTTTAGCCGCTATTGTTCTTAAATTAAGTTTATACGGAATACTAAGATTAATATTACCTATATTACCTAAAGCTTATATGGAATATACTTATATAATCTTTTTAATTGGTGTTATTACTATTGTATATGCTAGTCTTAGTACATTGAGAACAATTGATATCAAAGAACTTATAGCCTATAGTTCTGTTTCTCATGCTGCAGTTTATCTGTTGGCTGTATTCAGTAATAGTATACAAGGTATTGAGGGTGCAATTACTTTAGGATTAGCTCACGGGTTCGTTTCACCTGGTCTATTTATTTGTGCAGGAGGAGTTCTTTATGACAGATCTCATACAAGAGTAATATCATTCTATAGAGGAGTTACTCAAGTAATGCCACTTTTCTCTATATTATTCTTCATACTATGTCTTGCTAATTGTGGAGCTCCTTTAACTTTAAACTTTATAGGAGAATTCTTATCATTATATGGAGTATTTGAAAGAGCACCATTATATGGTCTATTTGCTAGTAGTTCTATAATCTTCTCTGCAGCCTACACTATTTATATGTTCCAAAGAATAGCCTTTGGTGGAGCTTACTCAAGAATGTTCACTGTAGCTATGCCAGATTTAACAAAAAGAGAATATACTGTTTTAATGATATTAGTAGTATTAACTGTTTTATTAGGAATCTATCCAGCTTCTATACTAGATGGATTAGCATACAGCGTATCAACATTACTTTACAACTCTGATATTATTGCATAATTTAGCTCTGATTCTTTTTCTAAATAATAGTAATTGTGGCTAGTGTTATTACCAATGGTAGTCGCTTTTATTATATTAGTTCCCTTGTATATTATATAGTTTTGAAATAATGCTATGTAATCTACCTTTATTATAATTTATGTCAGTTGTAAAGTGTAACTTTACGCGGTATAAATAATCTCTAGGCTTTCATTAAAAAAAAAAGAGAAATTAGCTCAATTGGTAGAGCGTTCGTTTTACACACGACAGGTTAGGTGTTCAAATCACTTATTTCTTATTAGTTATGTAAAATAAGCGTTTAACTCTAAGATCTTTTTTGAGACTCTTGTTACCCTAAAAGTTACACAGCCTTTTACTCTATAGCTACTATATGGCTTGCCGCTATTTCTTAAAAAAAAAATTAAGAAAAAAATTAAAAAAAAATACAGTATCTTCACGTAAGTTCGATTCTTAAATGAGAGTATTTTAACAAACAGACATTAATTTTATTTTTACACAATGAATTTATCACTAATTTTATTTACAATTGGAATTTTAGGTTTTGTTTTAAATAGAAAAAACATTATCTTAATGCTTATTTCTATTGAAATAATGCTATTGGCTATTACGTTTTTAATATTGGTTAGTTCACTTAGCTTTGATGATATATTAGGTCAAACATACGCTATTTATATTATTGCCATAGCTGGAGCAGAATCCGCTATTGGTTTAGGTATTTTAGTAGCTTTTTATAGATTAAGAGGAAGTATTAGTATTGAATTTAAATAATGTATCTAGCTATTATAATTTTACCACTATTAGGATCAATAGCATCTGGTTTTTTTGGTAGAAAAATCGGAGTTACAGGATCACAAATAATTACATGTACAGCTGTTATAATGACAACTGTTTTTGCTATAGTTGCTTTTTTTGAAGTTGGATTAAATAATATACCTGTGTCTATAGAGCTGTTCAGATGAATAGATTCTGAGTCATTATATGTGTCTTGAGGATTTCATTTTGACTCATTAACAGTTTCTATGCTTATACCTGTACTAATTGTTTCTTCTTTAGTACATATTTACTCTATTGGTTATATGAGCCATGACCCTCATATACAAAGATTCTTTAGCTATTTAAGCTTATTTACATTTATGATGCTTATATTAGTTACAGCAGATAACTATCTATTAATGTTTGTAGGTTGAGAAGGTGTTGGTGTTTGTTCTTATCTATTAGTATGTTTCTGATACTCTAGAATAGCAGCAAATCAAAGCTCTCTTTCAGCATTTTTAACTAACAGAGTAGGAGATTGTTTCCTAACTGTAGGTATGTTTGCCATAATATGAGCGTTTGGTAACTTAGATTATGCTACTGTATTCTCATTAGCTCCTTACATGAATGAAAATGTTGTAACTATTATAGGAATATGTTTAGTTATAGGAGCAATGGCTAAAAGTTCTCAAGTAGGTCTTCACGTATGATTACCTATGGCGATGGAGGGTCCTACACCTGTTAGTGCTTTAATACACGCTGCTACTATGGTTACAGCTGGTGTTTACTTATTAATGCGTTCATCTCCTTTAATAGAATACAGTTCAGTTGTATTAATGATATGTTTATGACTAGGTGCTATCACAACTGTGTTTAGTTCTCTTATTGGTTTATACCAACAAGATATTAAAAAAGTTATTGCTTATTCTACTATGAGTCAATTAGGAATGATGGTTATAGCTGTAGGTTTATCTTCTTATGGAATAGCTTTATTCCATTTAGTAAATCACGCCTTCTATAAAGCACTTCTTTTCTTAGGAGCGGGAGCAGTTATTCACGCTGTAGCGGATAATCAAGACTTTAGAAGATATGGTGGATTAAGACCATTCTTACCACTAACTTATTCAGTAATGCTTATTGCTTCTTTAAGTTTAGTAGCTTTCCCATTCATGACAGGGTTCTATTCAAAAGATTTCATCCTTGAATCTGCATTTGGTCAATATTACTTTTCTGGTACTGTTGTGTACATAATTGCTACTATAGGAGCAATGTTTACTACACTATACTCTGTAAAAGTGTTATATTTAACATTCTTAACAAATCCTAACGGACCTTTAATAAATTATAAAAATGCACATGAAGGTGATATCTTTATGAGTTTACCTTTAATGATTTTAGCCGTATTCTCTATATTCTTTGGATATGTAACAAAAGATATGTTTATAGGGTTGGGTTCAGGATTCTTCTCAGATAATGCGCTATTCATACACCCTAGTCATGAAATTATGTTAGATACTGAATTTGGAGTAGCAACTCTGTTTAAACTATTACCTTTAATGTTCACTGTATCATTAAGTGTATTAGCTATTCTGCTGTCTGAATTCTTATCTACTACATTAATTTCTTTCAAATTATCTAGAACAGGTTATAATATATTCAGTTTCTTTAACCAACGTTTCTTAATAGAGTTATTCTATAATAGATTCGTTACTGGAACTGTATTAAAACTTGGTGGACAAACTACAAAAGTTTTAGATAAGGGATCTGTAGAATATATAGGACCGTATGGACTTGAAAAAGGACTATTAAATATAAGTACTAATATTAGTAATCTTAATACTGGATCTGTAACAACATATGCCTTATATATAACTACAGGAATAGTGATGTATATGTTATTCTCTTCTTATGTAAGTACTAACATATTAATACTATCTATCCTTTTAGCCTCATCTTTATTACTATTTAACAGTAAAAAACCAACTATATAGTACTAAGGGCACACTTGAGGATTCTTGTGTCTAATGACTATTTTAGTAGCTCTAAACGTAAACGTGGTGATTAGTTTATTTATTTAGTTAAAAAATTGGCTCCATTTTTTTTATAGCTAGCCCTTTAAAACTTTGTACTTATATAGGTTGTTAACTGTTAAAAACAATACTACGATAAACCCCAGCGATAAGGAAAAAAGCTGTAGCTGGAAATTGCTTTCTCGAAAGCAAACGGGAGAAGAGTAAAATCTATTTTACTTAAAGCCCAAAAAAACAAAAAAAAATAATTTGTTAAAAACAAACCGTATAATAACGAGAACTACGTACTAATCTATACTAAATTCATATGCAGGAGATGCATATGGTCTTAACATACCTTCTTTTATATTTATAAGAGTTACAGTATCTGAAGGTAGTAATATGATTAGTTAGTGTTTCGTGGCTTTATTAGCGATATTATTAGTGTGGAGTATGAGTTACTTTACTAGACTACCTAACTCAGTTACCCCTAATATATTGGCAGTATGGTATTTAAATAATTTTAAATACCGTGCCGCGTTATTTCCATTAATAGATATTATTATGTAGGATTTATAAAATATCTTTTAAACTATTATCACTAGGATTGTTTGCATTATGGTACGTATTTCTACCTGAACCACTAGTACCTTGTTGGATAGAGTTTTTCTGTGATTATTACATTTGTAACAGTTATTTATAAGATCATTAACCGAGGAGGCAAGAGATTCGAACTCTTAAAAGCGTATTGTTATTGAGTTTACAGCTCAACCCTTTTTACCGAGAGGAACTCTCCTTTTTTTTTTAATGAAAGCCTAGAGATCATTTATACCGTATAAAGTTACACTTTATAACTGTTAAACTATAATAAAGGTAGATTACATAGCATTATTTCAAAACTATATAATATACAAAGGAACTAGTATAATAAAAGCGACTACTATTGGTACGAAAACAGTACCTACTAATAATATTAAGATAGTATATTCTCTTTTAGTTATACCTGGTATAGCTAATGAGTGCTATTTTGTAAGAAATTTATTTAAAAAAGCATGAGCAATAGTAATGTCTACTTTATTATAACTAGAAGTTTGTCTACTATCAATAGTTAACGCGTTTTTCCCTAGTTCAAATATAAATCCTAAAGTTAGTAGTACAAAAAAGATCATCATTACGGCTAGACCATAAATGTCATTTGTATATGTACTAACACTATAAGGGTACACTAATAAAATTTCTAAATCAAATAGAAGGAATAAAAGAGCAAAAATGAAGAAAGATACACTGAATTGTGTTCTATTTTGACCTAAAAAGGAGTGGAAACCACATTCAAAAACACTATCTTTTTCTTGGTAAGGGTTATGAGGTGCTAAAATTAAATTTATAGCTAGTAATAAAACAGCTAATATAGGGATAAATATAATAAAAAAAGTTGTACTTGTCATTTTTATATGTTAAAAAGGATTAATGCTAATATATTGGCTAAGCTTAATAATTCTTCTGGTATAAAAATAAATAACGCTATTACAAGTGTTATTATAGAAATAGATAAACTTAATGAGCTTGATAGAACAATGTTATTAATAGTTATAGAAACTTTTTTACTAACTGTACTTTTTTCTACTATTAATCCTTCTGCATTTAAGTCTGTTAATTCATTGTTTAACGTGTAGTCTGGTCTGTCAAAAAAGATTTGTTTTATTATAGCTAAGTAATATACCGCACTTATAACACTTGTTAAAATGGCAACAAGAGACATAAAGATGTAACCGTTATCAATGGCTGCGCTTAGAATCATCTGTTTTCCAAAGAACCCTATTAATGGTGGTATTCCAGCAAAAGAAAATAGAGTAATCGCTAAACTTAATGATAACACAGGATTAATATAATACAACCCTTTTAATTGGTCAATTAATTGGATAGGTGAATTGTTCACGTCCTGTAGGTTGTTGTTATTTTGATCATTTATTTCTTTTTCATTAGCAGTAGTAGACTCTGTTGCTTTAGACTCTGAATTAGAAACATAACAGTATAAAGAATAACCAATAGTAATAAGTAAGATAAACGCATTTAAGTTTGAGATAGAATACTGGATTAAATAAAACATAAAGGCTTGTGTTGATTCTACTGTGTGTATACTTAGTCCTAATAGTATAAATCCTACGTGTGAAATAGTACTAAAAGCAAAAAGTCTTTTAATTCTAGATTGTGTTAGTCCTACAACAGTTCCTATAACTAGTGATAAAAGAGAACTAAATAATAGTGTTGTTGTTCAAGAAAAGTCCATATCAAACATTGTTTTGCTTGTATAGTGAACTAATTCTAATAAGAAAATAAAGATAGAAATTTTTGCGATTATCGCTACAAAAGTTGTAACAATTGTAGGGATTGCGTCATAAACATCTGGACTTCAGAAATGGAATGGTGCAGCAGATACTTTAAATAAGAACCCTACAGCCATAAACAGTAAACTTATATGGATATAGTAAGATTTATATCAGTAAAGTAAAGTTGT